TTGTCTATTTCAAGCTTATTTTCAGCAGTGTTTCTTCCCTGGCAAGCATATTTGGAAAACGCACAGATTGAGCACCAGTGTGGGAGGAATTATACAGCTAAAAAACATTCCATGAAACGATCATGGGTATTCCAATTTGTTTCAAGATTAATTATAGTTCTATAATTCCCACATCAAGGCAGTCTGTGGGTTAGAGACTGGGCTGAGAGAGTTGTCATCCTAGTAATGACATTTAAGGCAAATGATTTACTAATGCAAAATCTGTACTATTTTCAACCTAAACTTTAGGAAAAGCCATATAAGCATTAAGAAAAATTAAATTATATAAAACACATTCCCAGCAAACTCTGCCCTATACATTGTAAACCTATGAGAAAAAAAATCTGGTTGAAAAGCTGAGGGCTGATAGTATAACCACGGGAACCATTTAGGAATGATAATTTTAACATCATTACTAATTCTTAACAAGAATCCTGAGACAGAATGAAAAATTATTCTGGGGATAATACAAGAAATGTAAAACAGTTAAGCATATATTACAGATTTAAAGGCTTAATCCCATAAACATTAATATATCAGGTTGTTTCTCTTGACATTGTTCGAACAATAAATTATATATATACAAAACAATTTGTTACTTTCAGGCCTGTCATTTATAAACTGTAAATTTTAAATTGAAAAGTTTTAAGGATAGTTTACAATTCCACTGTGATTTTCTTAGAAATAAAATATTCAAAAAAGTAAAAAGCATGATAAATGGTCACTTTATCTACATCTATCATCCATGTTTGATATGTATATGCATATGTGTGCATAAATACATCTCTATAAATATGTGAGCATAATATATCATTTTTATTGAGTACTTGCTTGCCGAGCACTTCACATGAATTATGATTTCATATAAATTTTGCCATTTAGTCTCTGTAATAGTCCTAGGAGGTGTCTAAAACCATTGTCCCATTTTGCAGTCAAGGAAAGCAAGTCAAAAGGTGATTAAGTTGTTCAGAGCCAGAACTAATGG